AATAGTCTTTTTTTAGAAACTTTTTATAGTCTAGTTATCTAGAGGCCTTAGCTATACTAGTTTTCTTTTTTTTATAATATTTATAGCTATTATAGTTATAGTACTACTATTTAATTTTTAAATAATTATTATTAATCTAGATCTACTATATAGGTACTAGAATACTTTCTTATTATTTTTTTATCTAATAGTATATTCTATTAGTATCTATATTTATAATCCTAATTTTATAATTATAAACTAGTATAAAATATTTATTACTTTTATATACTTAGTATAGATTTTATAGAATTTAGTTTATAATATTCTTTTTATTAGTTATTTTTTAGACTTTTTTTAGTAACTTAGAGGAATTAGAGTTATTTTCTATATTATCCTCTTATAGTAGTATTAGAGTCCTAGACTATAATATTATTATAGCTATATTTATTATTTAGATTTACTTACTCTAGAACTTTCTAGAAAAATATTTAGTTTTAAAGTATCCCTTTTCTCTATAATTTAGATAAGCTCTATTCTTAAAGTATTATTATTAGATATTATTCTATTTCTTTTATTATAAAATTTATTCCTTTTTCTTATAGATTTTATTTTTTATAATTATATCTCTATTATAATCCCTTTATTTATAATATAGCTTCTATATATTAGTTTTTAAACTAAATACTAATTTAGTAGATTTCTTTCTTTCTAGCTATTATTTATATAATTAATAGTTAATTTATACTACTAGTTTAATTAGGGCTTCTAGGCTATTAGGCTTCTTATAATAAAGTAATTTATTCTTAACTAGTTTTTTTAAGCTATTATAGTAGGCTATCTATAGTAGGGTATTATTTTAATTAATTTTAGTCTAGAGCTATTAGAATATAGTAGAGTATTTACTAGCTAATCCTATTTACTTAATATATTAAATAAGTTATTTAGCCTATTATTCTTTATTTATTTTACTAAATATAATCTTAATTTATTTCTTAAATTCTTTTTAAGATATAAAAATCTTTATAGTTTTCTTATTTTATTTTTCTAGTTCTATTTTATATACTAGAAAGTCTTTAATAATTAAATATATTTATTCTACTATTCTTTCTATTATATATATTATAGTAGCTAAAATTTTTATTTAGTTATTTTTAAATATATTATAGTTATATTTATAGTATAACTTTATATTTATTAAAAATATCTTAAAGTTAATTTTTATTTCTCTATTATAGAGTTCTAGAATTTTAAAATTAACTCTTAGTAAGTATACTACTATAGTTATAGGTACTTAGACCTATTTTATAATTATAGCTAATTATATTTTAAGTTATTCTACCTTTTTAGCTTATATTACTAAAAGAATTACTAGATTACTAACTAGATTTAAGGTAGTACTTATTCTAAAGCCCTTTAAGCTAGTAGATATATTTAGTAATACTATATTAACTTAAACCCTTAGGTAGTTAAAGTATTATAAGGGGTTTTCTATATACCTAATCTAGATTTATACCTTAAGAATTATTTAAGAAATAAGATATAATAGAGGTAAATATAAAATTAAATAATAATCCTATATTATAATAGAATATAATATAATAATATTAAAAGAAAACTAAATATTTATATATAGATAAAGTATTTTAATTTAAGTATAAAAGTTAACTATAAAGAATAAAAACTATATAGAGATTTTTCTAGACTATATATTAGTTATTCTAATTTTTATTATTCTAAAATCCCCTAGTTTATTTCTATAAATTCTACCTTTTTAGTAGGAATATTTACTCTACTCCTATTAAAATCTAATACTCCTAGAATTTTATACTTTTAGTAAAATTATAATTATATAATTTATAATATAAGCTACCTTATAGACTTATATATAAGTATCTATTAGCCTTATTTCTATTACTAATATTTTATATATAATTTTTTCCTTCCTTTTAGTCTAGTTCTATTATAATTATAATATATATATAATTATATATAAGTATATATAAAACTATACTAGTTATCTATATATACTAATAAGGTAAAAACTTTTTATAATATACTATAGTTATAGTTATAAGTTTTTCTAGTAGATTTATTAGATAGGATATTTTTAATAATTTTTTAGTAATAGATATATTAATTTATTATCTATAAAATATATAAAATATAGGGGTATTTTTTTTAATAGTAAGATATAGTTAGGATTTATATATAAAATATACCTATTAGAGAAATTAGTATTATTTATATAGTTCTAGAGAGTTCTACTAGTTTCTATATACTAGGTATTATAAGGGGTTTCCTATATATCTAATTTAGGTCTATACCTTAAGGATTATTTAAGAAATAAAATATAATAGAGGTAAATATAAAGTTAGATAATAATTCTATACTATAATAAAATATAATATAATAATACTAAAAGAAAACTAAATATTTATATATATATAAATAGCTTTAATTTAGATATAAAAGTAAACTACTTCTAAATAATATTTTAAGTTAATTATAAAAAATAGGAACTAAATAAAGATTCTTCTAAATTATATACTAGTTATTTTAATTTCTATTATTTTAGAATCTCCTAGTTTATTTTTATAGATCTTACTTTTTTAGTAAAAGTATTTACTCTACTCCTACTAAAATCTAGTACTTCTAGAATTTTATACTTTTAGTAGGATTATAGTTATATAATTTATAATATAAGCTATTTTATAGGTTTATATATAAGTATCTATTAGTCTTATTTCTATTACTAATATCTTATATATAATTCTTTCTTTCCTTCTAGTCTAGTTCTATTATAATTATAATAGTATTATTATATTATATTCTATTATAATATAGAATTATTAACTAATCTAGTATTTACCTCTATTATATTTTATTCCTTAAATAATTCTTAAGATATAGACCTAGGTTAGATATATAGGAAACCCCTTATAATAAAGTAAAGTAAATACTTCTACTAAAAAGGTAGAATCTATAAAAGTAAACTAGGAAATTCTAAAATAGTAAAAATTAAAATAACTAGTATATAATTTAAAAGGATTTCTATATAATTTTTATTCTTTATAGTTAATTTAAAATATTATTTAGAAGTAGTTTACTTTTATATTTAAATTAAAGTACTTTATATCTATATAAATACTTAGTTTTCTCTTAATATTATTATATTATATATTATTATAATATAAGATATTTATTTATCTCTTTATATAGCCTTTATTATATCTTATTCCTTAAATAATCCTTAGGGTATAGACTTTAGTTAGGTATATAGGAAACCCCTTATAATATAGAATATAGACCTACTAGGAAAACTTATAGCTATAACTATAGTATATACGTATTATTCTTGGTTCTTATCTATCTTATTTATTTTATAAGATACTTTTACTAATACTGGGATTAGTATATTTATATCTCTATTATTGGGTATAAGCCTACGCCATCTTGGATTAATCCTTTAGCCCCTGCGCTACCGAGTAAGTCTTTTAATACAGGTATGTATCCGCCTCGAGCTGCGAGACGTTTTACTTCGTTTAAAGGAACGAAGGTGGCGTTGGCGAAGTAGGGCCTAGGGCTATATACACTAATATTTAATGAGTATGGGTAAGCACTAGTAGTAGATGGAGAAGTGGGTGGATAATTAGATATAATTATAATTTACTCTTGCTACATTGCACTATTTGAATCCTATCCTACCGATCTAATACCTTTTTTCCCTTTCCAGGTCTTCTTTTTTTCTATTGCTATTTTCTTACACGCACTGTTAAATTTAATACTTCGCGAGCTTCTGGAAGCCGCGGTAAAACGCAATATATACACTCTGTAGCTTACACGCACTGTAAATCCAATTAATAAATGGCGGCACCTAGATTGTTCGCGTGATAATCTTTCTAAAGTTTTAAAGCCTTATATTTTCCATACATTATTGTTGAACGTACTAATTCAGTTATAGAAAATATAAGGTGTCCTCGTTACTAGAGACTGAAAATAGCAAAGGAATTTGCGCTTAGCTACCATAGGCCTCTGCGAGCTCATACACTTAATCACGTCATTAGCGTCGTTTATAGGCTGAGAAGAACGCGAATATTATAGGGCTTCTGTGGCTTCTGTGGCTTCTGTGGCCCAACAGATGTAAACGAGTGCCCACTAGTAGCAGTGTGTTCTGTTAGGCTGAGAATTCGTACCGAGGTTAATCTTATCTACCCTCTCGTCAGCGTGCCTCAAAGAACAGTGATTTGCAGCCGATGATTGAACGAGGTGAGGTGCGGATGGGGGTCGCTTTGTGAGTCCGTGCGTGCATCGGTTCAGCGTTAAGTTACTAACTAATTGCAGACAGGTCTGCTGTCACATCACGTGATGAGTAGGCACCAAGTCTAACACAGCACTATATCGCGCAGTCACATCCCTACCATAGAAATTGGATGCTCCCGGTTGAGCTAGTTAGCACCTTGAACTAATGAAAGAAGCTATTTATGATGTCTGACCCGCTTTTATAACCTATCCTGTTTTATGATTAGATCGCTAAACACCCTGGTCAACCGGCAGTAGAAAAACTCTACGGTAATATGAAAGCAAGAATGTGCTATATGCGCGCCGGAAAGCAGTCCGACCGACGCGCTGTCACGTGATATTGAAAGGCGTGCCAAAAGTGAAGAGCGAAAAGTGTGTGGCAGGCATCGCTCTCGATTCGAGACCCAAGATTCGAGAAACCAGTTTTCCCAACATTAAGCGCTATTAGCGTCAGCGAAATACGTCATGATGGGCTCATAGCTGGGTGTTGATTGGTACATGTAAAATTAGCATTCGCGGTCAGACTATCGTTCTAGGAAAAGCATCCGTCGGAAGGATTACCGCGTTAGCGAGCCTACGCCTAGTAAACTTCGCTTTTCTATAAAAACAGATATACTAAGCCAATTTTTTATTACTGCGAATTATTTACATGAGCTCCAACTCTAAATCTTGGTATTTATATTTCTATTTTTGTATAGGAAGTCATCGAAACAGGGTTCGGGCTTGTGGTTTAGTGGTATAATTTTCCCTTAGCATTTGTGTACTCTTTAGTACTACAAAGCGTGGGAAAGGTCCTGGGTTCGATTCCCAGCAAGTCCATCTTTTTTCGCCTCTGCGAACTATGGAGGATGGTCGGATGTATCTTTTTGCGCATATGTGCGCCACACTCCTCGCTGACCACAGCACTGACTAGGGTATCCATGCCCCCATCTCTACGCAGAAACCCTTCTACGTGTCTTCTGGGAACATTACCAGAGATGGAACAGCAGGGTCTAGGTTGGTCAAGGCCCAACTGTCCCTCGTTGACAGTAGATCTAATTTCGCGCTCGTGAAGACCGCGCAGTGATTGAATTGGACGGCATCTTCATTTTCCGCGTGCTCGAATGACTAAAACAGCAGAAACCTACAGCATTCTTGCGCCAGACCAGAACCCTAAGACCACTTACTTTAGCCCTAAAAGCGTGCGGAATAGGTCCGGACATTTTCCGCTATCCGTACATAACGTCGCCTTTACATGCATTTCCACATTGAGCGTCTTGACACTCCACACTACAACCACAAGTGAAAGATCAGACCACTCACATCACCTTTTCGGAAGCCACCGTCTTGGCACACGTCTGCAGTCCAAGCAAGGACGCAGCTTGACAAAACCCGCGTTTCAAACCTTGCGTCCATGCGTGGACGGACTTGGCCGTCTGAGGACTGCACGTGGTGTGGGGGCCACCTCCCAGACACACCCGTAACGATGACATGGCAGTACTACAGAATGATACAAGTGACTAGTTGGCGATGATGAGGCAGCGATATGAGCGAGGTAGTGATGTGGTTCATAGATCAATGCGAACGGTGCGCACGGAAGTAATGTTCATGTAACGAGCGTCAGGAGACCGGGGTATTCCGAAAGCCAGAGGACGCGAGCTATGCTACATGCAGGACCGATAAAGAAGCTATGTTCTTCCCATCGTCAATGTAGAAAACAAAAAGGGAAATGAAAACCAGGAGAGCCGTTGCGCTGCTCTATACCCTGTTGGTTGTTGCGGACGGTGGATCCCGCGGAATACTTCCTGCCACCATCATCTCCAGGCAACTCAGAAATTAGACATAAAACAACAAGATACGCCACACCTCATTACATACTTCGCTGCGAAGACTCGCACTGCTCGCTATGGTTTTCGCTTGAAGCTGGGATTTCGGAGGGGAGTGCTGCCCGCGTTGTACGGCCCATCGTTGACGTTGATATAATTGGGCACAGTACTGCTCCTCTTGCGAGAGGTCTGCCTCGTAACGCTTCCTCCCACCATGCGACCACCTACTTTGCCGAAGCTGAGCACCTCGGGTCGGTCTAGGTCGAATGGATCTGATTGCCGTACTCCTCTGCCGAACACATTCGTTGCTGGTCTTGAAGGCCCGGGTTCGCCGAAGAAGAACGAGTCCTCTGACATGCGGGATACTGTGCTTGAAGTTGCATTGAATTGAGGAAGTGGTGCGTAAGTATTGGCCGGACGTGACGGAGTGGGCGGCAGTGGCCCATTCGGAGGAAGCGGTGGCGGGTCCGAGGGGTCAAAGAAAGGATTCGAGTGGCGATCGGTGTAGATCGACGAAGCGTGATATGTAACGGGATTTGAGTGTAGCGCAGTCTGGGTGCTTGTCGTTCGCTTGTGCTGTTGGGCGGTCTCGCGAAGCCACTCCGGCGTTCCACTGCCGTTTTGGGCGTCTATCTCACTAAGTATTGAGGCGAAAGGGTCACGTGTGTTTCTTTCCGGGTTCGCAACAGATTTCGGTGCAACAGGACCACCTTGCTGAGGTCGAGGAGAGGCTGGATCGGGGTTCAGCAACTGGAGACTCTTGGGTGGATCTGGCGGATCGGCGAAAGGATCTGAGCCAGCATCGCTATTGCGAAGAACTGGATCATCCACAATGTTAGGGAAAGGAGAGTTCTGGCCAACAACGAGACTGTCTTGCTTCTTATGGAGCAGTATTCGAGGGCTCTTCAGGGCCGACATCCGACCGCCGAATTCACGAAGCTGTTGTCGAAACTTCGAAGGGGGCTCGTTGATTGATTGGCTCCGTCGGGCTGTTCTAACTGAATAGACTGAGCTGGCGTTGCGGGTGTGTTTGCGGTATGGATTTGATGCAGGTCCAGACTTGTCACCTTTTAGTCTCGTGACGAAGACACCTAGCCCTATCGGTATGCCTCGTATCTTCTCGGGAATTGCGCGTAGCTTCGCGAGTACCCCTCCCTCTTCTCTTGGGCTTTTCTCACTCAGACGTTGTTGCCACTTCTCAGAGGTCCCATCCTTTCGTCTCCTCAAGCATAAAAACAACAACGCACTGATGAGCGCAAGACCCACGAAGCCGCCCACTACACCACCTACAATAGGGGCAACGTTTGTTGAGCCGTTCAAAGGAAGTGTGAGCCCGTTGCCTTGATCCGACGTCCCACTGTCGGGTGATATAGCACCTGCTGATCCACCTGATGGAATGCCTGTGTCGGTGGGTTGCGATAGTACGGGCTGGGTATCGGACGAAGGGTCTTCGGGCAGTACCGACTGGACAGGCGCAGAAGATGAAAACACTGGTATTGAGGCGTCAGGCACTGTAGAAGACGCGACAGGCACATCCACCAGTGCAGAGCTTGTTGGCGTTACAGTTACAGGATTCGAGGCTGGGCTTGTCGGCGTTACAGCTACAGGATTCGAGTCAGAGATTGCGGGTGCTGGTGCTGGGGTGGCGGTTGGTTTTGGTGTTGGTGTAGGTGTAGGGTCGACAGCGGTCCCAACCGACGGTGTCTCAGCGACCTCAGGCACAGGTACTGGAACTGCAGCTGCGGGTACCTGTGGCGAGATGTTCGCGGGAACCGAAGATTGCGCTGCTGCTGAGGAGACTGTGCTACTCGTACCTATCGCCGTAGAGACAGCTTCGGATGATGTGGCCTGCTCCGTTGTTTCGATTCTAGACGACGCTGGAGGTGGGGAAAATGGAGGCTCGGGGGCTGGAGGTTCGGGGGATGGAGGCTCGGGAGATGGTGGCGCGGAGGATGGAGGCACTTCAACTATCGAGCTGCTCTGTATCGATTGCGCATCCTGAATGCTCGTCGAAGTCGATTCAATAATAGAAGTAGTGGTCGAGGTAAGGGTCGATGTGGCTGTTCGGGCTCGCGAGCGCGTACATCGCCGTCCGCTCACCGTCGTAATCGTCTCTGATGGAGTGGCCATGCAGAAGATACACTCATAGAAAACGAAGCACCGCTAGGGGCTCGAGAGAAGAGACGAAAGAAAAAGATCACAGCGCCGCTGGCGCTTCGAGCATGATAAACGTGGGAAATTGAGGTTTCTGCGGGTTGATGCTAGAGAACAAAGACACCAAGACAGATGCTAGTAGTGGCCGGGCAAGCGGTCGGCATGGTTGTCAACCGTTGGCATGAGGTGGAGCGCTTGGGATGCTCTGAAGCCGCTCCCGTTTCAGGTGCCGCCAAGGTCGTGATTCTCACACATTTGAAGCGCAGGAGGCATCGGCGGCCAAGAGACAGCGGCACAGCCGTCTCAGCCGGTCAGGCACAAGAGGGCGAGGGCATATACTGGCAGGCATCGCGTGCATCGCGCGTCGCGAGCGCGAGCAGGTGGGAATGGTGTTGAGGACGTGCGGAGGATCCGAGAGGCCCTCCAGGGCTGATGTTGAGGCACGTGATCTTGTCGCTTTTCACTGCCAACGCTCTAAAACCTTGGGCATGTATCTGCAGACACGCTCATGGGCAGCCTATGATGGCTTGCACTTGACCCCGAAGGATGCCATAGTGAACCCCTTTCACCAATCTATCGTGGGCTCCTCTGGACATCTCCACAAATGGTGTACAGTAAACGCGCGCAAACAGCTGCTTCGTGAAATTACCGGCCAAACCTCCGTCTGAATGGAACAGGCTTCCTGCGCAATGAGGAGTGGTGGCTTTTTCAATGAAGCCGAAGCAAGTACCGTCTCCACAGCGGAGACGCTCGAGCGGAGGCCATGATCGATGGGGAACTGAAGCGAACACTCCCGATGTTGGTTTCCTACACCTCGATTCCCACCGCCAGCCAATTGACGGACAATCTTGTCCTGCCCGCGAGTCCACCGCCATGTTCCAATTCAGCGGTACGTTGCTTCTCCCCAACTGTCCTCAGCGCTTGCTATGCGCCGCGGCATCCACGTCCCCACCTGCGGAACCCACGACCTAGCATGGTTAGCCGCCAGCCTCCGGCCTCTGTACCCATCTCCCCAAGCCCTCCCACTGCATCCCGCCAGCACGATACGGCTCCATGCCAACCCTCTGCGTCGCTTGGTCCGCATGTTTCGTGCCATGTGTTGGCAAAACATGTTTCGTCTTGCGCGCTACGCGGGGCACGTGCAATAGCATCGCTGATTGTGGTTCACACCTCTAGGCGGCCTTCTCGCAGGCCAACACGACAACAAGAAAGAGAGATCGCCACCGGCACGGCCGACACCCGTTACTTTCCCCTCTCTGAATCCACCTGAGCCGTCGCTGCCGGCACCACCCCAGTCCTGGACTGGTGACTCGGGCTCTGGTGTTGCTGCCCACTTCCTCGGACTGAAGAAGCCATCCGATGTCAGTTTGGACACATTGGCCATACTGAACGTGTCGTTTCAACCCGAGTGTGACTTTGAAACGCTTCTGGGATCCATATCGAACGATGCGCAGTCGTATCTTCCACCCAGGTCCTGGTTCGAGGCCCCGGATCAAAACATCGTGAAACCAACCGAATCCGCTACCAAAATCCTTTGCAACGGCAGAAGGGTTCCAGATCACAACGAGTTCTACATGCGTGCAAAGGAGATTTCCTTTAGCAATCAAGATGCATTTGCTAACCTCACACGAAAGCCAATGGGGGAGAAGGTACCACTACGTCTAGCGCACTTTCGAAAGTTTTGGGAAGGCCTCGACAACATGGCTTACTACTGGGACAATTCGCTCGACGAATACCTTCCTCCAAAACTGGCAGAGAGCAGTAACAATAACAAGGATTTGAATTCCTCTCTGTCTCCAGATGAGGAAGAACCCCGCAAGAAAGCGAAAACAGAACCGACTATGCCTTCCGGTACAGCAG